TTCTTCTTGCAGTCCGTCAGGGTCAAGAACGTCTTGCAGCAGATCTTGCACGCGTACTTGCGCGCGCCTTCCACCACCAAGACGTTGTGTTCGGATAAGGCCTTCTTGCATTTCGAGAGGACGTCCGCAGACGCCCTGGTCAGCTGTGGCGGGCCAGGCTGTGACGGGTGCCCGTTCTCAAACGATGTGGTCCCGTTCATGATCAGCTGGGAACTGGATGAGTTGTCCTGCAGCTGGGAGCTCCTGACAGAGGTCACTACGGGCATTTTGGGGGCTATGCGGCGGTAGCCAGGAAAGTTGCTAGCTCCACCCCTTACTGAGCCCATCATTGCCCTCGACAGGGAGTGCAAGCCCAAGCCGGACCGTGGGAAATCTATGCCGAACTGTTCTGCTGCCCGGTACCCTGAAGTCTGTACGCAGGGGAGACTCATTACATCCTGCATCGGCCTAACGAAATGAGAGTCTGCCGGCTCACTGAACGGGTTCTCGACGTGAGAGACGGTGGCAGACGAGTGGCCACCAGCAGGCCCCGACTCTGGGCTTAGCAGGTATGTGGAGTCACCGTCCATCCTGCAGTCGCTGGTGGTATTTGGAATGTTGTCATCGTTGTTCTGGCTAGCACCGAAGCCACCACCTCTGCTTTTATTCAGAAAATTTGAGATGCTGAAAGTCGACTTGTGTTCCAGGTTGTTTGGCACCTCCATAATATGGATGTCTCCCACCCTGTCCGTACTGGACTGGGGGTCAGAAAAGCTGCGGTCGCTGCTCTCGGGACTCAGTTCTATCTTCTCTGCGCTCACCACTCCTCCTTCCACTTCCACAGACTCGCTGCCCTCCGCCTGGGAGGTGACATCGCTCACCTCATCCTGAGGCTCGGGGGAGCTCAAGGGCTCAGACTTCACCACAACCCTCATGTGCTCTTTCTCGTTCAGGCTGACCTCTGGGTTCTCACAGGGGAAGTTGTTCTTGTCGGCAGCAGCCTCCGAGTCAAAGCCGGTTTCCACCTGCGTCGCCTGGGATGCCATGGACATCTGTGCAATGTTTCCTCCGCTGGTGTCAGACTGGCTGGGCATTTGAGCATCCTCCTGAGCACTGAATGACTGATCAAACATGATACGACTATCCTCCTGGTTATCAGCAACAGCATCAGCCTTGGAATTGTCCACGATCTTCAAGGAATCCGGCGAGAAGAAATCTTCCCGCGAATGAACCATCGCCTGCCCGCCCTCCGCAGTCACATCGGAAACAGACTCGTCCATGGCAGGCCTGATGCGCTGCCTGGCCCGGTCTTCAGAGGACTGCTTGCGTTTGTGGAGGCGCCGGATAGGAAAAGTAGAGCGCGGGTCGATGCTGTTTCTCATCGAGGAGCTCATTGTACTTGGCTGCTCCTCTGTGCTCTGAGTGGAATTTAACGCAGAGCTCACGATGCTCAGCCCAAGCTGCTGGAGCATGAAAGACCTCTGCATGCGTGCATTTTGCTCCTGAACTCTATCGCTCGGTGGAGACATGGGCAGCGTCCTGGTGGTAAGGTAGTGCTTGCACGCCTTGACGACAGAGTTCAGGTGTAAGTGGGAAGCAGCCAGCAAGACGTCCATAACGTTGCTCTCGCCCAGCATTAGCGTGGAAGTATACATCATGTCTATCAGGGCAGCAAAGGCTTCTGCTGTCACCACTTCACTGTCCAGCTGAATCATATTCATTGTCTGGTCTCCTTCTGCCACCGTAAAGAGCGCGCGGAAATGTGTGCTACACGCGGCCAGGACAGAGCGGTGGGCTTTGAAATGCCTGTTTCCCACCACAATGACGCAGTCACAAAGCTGGCCATGAAGCCTCTGGTAGTTGAGCTGCTGAAAGATCTGCTCAAAGTGTCCTGGAAAATCCATGATCCTACAAAACAAAAGCAGAAGAAAAAAATAGTATTAAGTATTAAAGGATATGGTATTAAAAATGGCTGAAGTCCTATTCAGGCAACAGTAAATCTGGGTTTAAAATGAGAGACGACGTCTGAAAGATGGATGAACAATAACTGGTATTAATTTACCACGGCTACATTGGTACTGCACCAAAGCTGGTGATCTTGCAGAGAAGGAGAAGGAAGAGAACAGTGGTCCTGCCATGGTGGGGATGTGTGACAGCCCCCTTGGCATCACAGTGTCACAGGCAGCTCTGCGCTGACCTGACACAGGCCATTGCACCTCTGCTGCTGTCCAAACCACACCACCTTGGCAAAACACTCAATCCTGCTGTTTTGAAAAACCTGATTGAGAACAATCCACTGCAACCTTTGATAAACTGCTGGCGTTATCAGATAACCTCCCATGGAAAAGGCTGAACTGTAACTCTTATTCAAACCAGCCCCACCTTCTGCAAATGACTTTCTGCATAGTTTCTCAGAATTGTCACTCAAGTACCAGCTTTTCTCACAGAAAAGAGTTAGAACAGACAAGACACCCTTCTGCACTGGAACAAGTGGTCAGCGCTCATTGCAAACTGCCTCTGCCAGCTATCAGAAGTGCAATATAATCTCCTTATTCACTACAGTTTATCAGCTGGGATGCACTGAAAGTCCTCTGTTTTTCCCTTTTCCCCACAAAATAAAACAGTAATAAGAGAGAAAAGTTTGCCGACATTAAGAGCTGCCTCTGCAGGCAGCAACCCAGCTCAAACCAGAAAGCACACCTACAACATTCCCGTTGGATTATCACCATTAGCACATCCAGGGAACCTGGGAGGGTCCCTGATCCTCTCTTACAAGGGACACGCATCACTGAACCATTCAGGAGTTGTCCTGTAAGCAGCATGAGATGAGGTTTCCCATTAGGAAAGGAAGTGAACACTGTGTGGCCCTGCAGGGTAACTCCCCACTCTGTACCCCATCACAGCAAACCCCGACGCCAGCAGCAGCTCGGGCTGGACCCACGTGAGGTTTCCCAGCCCCAACGCAGCCTGTTGTCTGTCAGGACATCCATCAAGGGAGGGCACAGAGCTAATGTGTAACTTTAGGGTTATACAACCCTAATGTATAACTTTAACGGCCCACAGCCGTAAACCTCGCTGGGCTGCAGAGGCCTCCTCTGTCAAAACCTGCCCATGTCATCTATGGAGGGGATGGGCAGAGCAACTGTGCACTACAGCACATCTTGTCACAGAATAGGAGGATTTGTCAGGGACCTGGAAAGCCCCCCCAGTGCAACCCCTGCCACAGCAGGATCACCAGAGCAGTCACACAGGAACACGGCCAGGGCTTTGGGTGTCTCCACACAAGGACACTTCACAACCTCTCTGGGCAGCCTGGGCCATGCTCCATAACCCTCACACTGACAAACTTTGGCCTCATCTTCAGCTTGAGCCTCCCGTGCTCCAGCTTGTCAAAGCTGTGTTGTCAAGGTCAGCTACCAGGTACTCATGGACACTACGGTGTGACAAACAACTACCACTTCCCTATCTATCCCCAGGGTTGTGAAACCCCTTAGGGCACCTGGACAAGCAAAGGGACCTGCTCAAGTTTGCAGCTTACTGCTGCACTTGGATTAACACTGGGCTACATCAAAATTAGGAAGCCAGCAGTACAGTAGTTGTAGAGATCTGAATACATAGCAGGAGCAGTGTGTTCATCCCACACACGCCACACTCAGTGCAAAGCCCAGGGATCCCCAGGGGCTCCACCCTTCCACCTTGGACCCTTCCTTCCCTCTCCACCCCTGCAATGGCCCAAGGCCCAGCAGACCCTGCTGCTTCGCCTGCCTCTCATCCTCAGCCCTGTGCTCCTGCATCAGCTCCCACTGCTGCTGGCTCCACACTGGGACTTTTCCAGTGCTCCCAGAGCCTCTGGTGCCGTCATCGTCACTGGGGGAGGATTTTATCTTGGTTTTGTATCTATATTTGCACATGTCTGTACATATTCCATTATTTCCCTATTTCCATCATTATCCTGTAGTATCAGTATTATTGTTTCATTAAACCTGTCAGTTTTCTTTCCCAACCCGTGCAGTCTCTCTCCCTTCTTCTCTTTTCTCTTCCCTTGTGGGGAGGGGAGAGGGGTTCACAGAGAGCGTCTGGCCAGGGTTTAGTGCCCAGCCCAGCCCTAACACACAACACCCTCCTACCCTGCCCTGCTCCAGCACACACCATACTATAAATAAAAATTATCAGTGACAGGAAAATTTCAAGGGCAAACCATGAGAAAGCATCAACGAAACCCTCACTGGAAAACAACTTTGTCCCTGGATCAACGCCTGTGAAACAAAACCAGCAGGGGCAGAAGCAAAGGAACTTTCCTTCCCATAACGCAGTGAAGCTGCAGAACTCCTTGCCGTGGGCAAGCACACGTGAATTCAACAGCTGTTACAGAGATTTGAAGAAAAATCAATTGAGAGCTATTACGTATTCAGATGGCACCTCTAGCTGGGGAAGGCACTAAACCACAAGTCACTGGAGGTGTAGTTTATACACACTCACCTCTCTGGCTTACAGTTTTACAGCTTGCTTTGGTATTATCAGAAGAGCTTCAGGAGAGAACTGTGAATTTTCTTGATGCAAGACTGATTTGGTAAAACTGCACAAGGAAGCATTTTCTCCCTGGCATTTTGTTATGTATGAAAGGATAATTAATCTTTGAATAAAAATAATGCGCTCAGTAGGCAGTTAAATACCTAACCTGTCTCCTCACTGCTAGAGGAAAACTCCACAGCCCCAGAGAGGTGAGGCTGCTCAGCACTCCAGGGCCCAGCATTAGGGGAGAAGAGGCATTCCCAGACAGCACAAATGCACAGAGGACCCCAACGCGCTCAGAGAAACCCTCGGCACCTGCACAAACACGGGCAGCACTGCAGGCCTCATCCTGGCTGGGCAGGAGGGGAGGTCACTGTCCTGGTTTAGTGGGACAGAATTTGAGAGTCAATTTACTCTTGAGGTAAACCACGATGTTGTAAGGACGTGAACGTTCTGTTTGATGGGAACAAAGTGATAAAACATTGTTATAGGTTTCAGCCAATGCTGGTGTGCAGGGTGTCACAGTGCTCCAGGGTCTTGAGATAAAGTTGCAGAGGTTTTAGGGAGTGGAAAAGCAGAGGAGTCAACCCCAAGGTGACTCCAGGTTGAGCATTTAATACCATTCATACCATAAACATCACATTCACTCTAAATTGGGGTTTGCACGGGACGGCTCTTCCTTCTTCCTCCTTCTCTTCCTCTCCCTCTGCTCCCTCTTCCATGGCTGACATCTCCAGAGGGACTTGTTCACCATCCAAACCCTGAGGCCTGCTCCCCCATAGTATTGAGTGTAACTCTGTGTACTTTATAACTTATTAATATTAGTTTATTATTATTATTTTAAATTAAATATATTTCTA